TTTATTTTTGTCAATACTTTTAAGTTATGGCCACTTTTCTCCATCCTTCTTTCTTAGAAGAAATCAGATCAGGATTGAAGTTAACTTTTACAAAGGAAATAGCACAATTAAGTCATATGAACTACAAAAAAATAGCACCAACTTACATACAAAATCTATAAATGACCTCTATCTGTGGCTATACAGAAATCAAGAAGACTTTCTGTAAATTATCTTTCTTATAATTAGGGTATAATAAAGGACTTTTTTCCTTAACCATATTTAACTATTATAAATATATGAAATGTTTTTCATTCAAATATCGAATTTCATTGATATGAAAAAAAGGAGGTTAGCTGCAGGAACCAAATAAATATTTTGAATGTAATTAAAGAGATGAAACCAGCTGTTTAATTTACCAAACTCACCAATTTAAATATTTGATTGATGCCCCATATAATTCATTTGGATTTCACCGATTGCAATAAAGTTCATTTCAAATTGATATGCTTAATTTTTCAAATTAGAATTGATTGAAAATAATTCCATGGTGCACTTTTTAAGACATACTCCATCAGGATCTATTACCTTACAGCTGAGCAACCAAAAGAACTATTTGACATGGCCAATCAATTCTACGCAAATTACCAGCTCTGTTGCTTGTAAAAATACTGGTGTCAAAAATAAATCTGCTATCAATATGTCAAAGCGTGAGGAGGAATTATTGCACATGGCGTAATAGGAAGGGGTCATCATATTATCAGGTGGCATGCATCATCGTGTGTCCATCTTTTTACCTCTTCTCTCACAATTCAAAGTCATCAACTGGGTTTTTTGTGGACACATTATAGTAAACGTGGACTTAATGTTAGAGCTCATTTTTAAAAAGTATTTGATCAGTATTTGCAGAGAGTGAAATTAACTGATATCTGAGATTCAAGAAAATGTTATAAATCCTTCCAAAAAAATATTTTAAAATATACAATTTGACTTTACCACAAAATCAATAATGAAAATGTAAAAGGAAATAGTTTGGTACATAAATTTCCTTAGTTAAATTCACTATAAAACTTAAATGAATAAAAAAAAAATTAAAATTGTCCAACCAAACACTATAGCTCACCTTACATTGATCTTCTCTACAACAGACGAGTCTATCAACTGACTTAAAATCAATCAATAGTTTTTAAAAGACATCCCTGTACGAGTAGGTGGATAAATATCTTAGCTGGTTAGTTTAATTACTTTAGTTACCAGTGTATTTATACAAAGAAAGCACACCCTTTAAAAAAGGGGAACAGTCACAGGAAACAGTGAGGGAATGTCAAGAATTGCTACGATTATTGATTATCTATTATCTCCCGATTTTACTGAATTTATACAGGGTAATAAATGACCCGTAACCTGTCATCCCCGTCTCCCAACATTGAAGAAGCACAAGAGGGGATACTACTATTTTTTTTTCTGGAAAGATTTTATGTGTCAACAGGTGGCCCTATAGTTTTCTATAATTTAATCCTAATAATTAAAAGTCAGCTGTGATATACCCCTAAATATGTGTCAGCTCACCTCTGGAGTGTTTTTCTTGAATTCCCTACTCTGTTCTACCAGTCTTTTTCTGGACAGGTCACTTTCATCTTGTCTGTTTGCCAGTTCTGTTGCAGTGATGTCAAGTTCTTTCTGCAAAGACACACAACAAATTCTAAAGATCAAAACCTATTAGAACTGCAGAGCAAAGGATCAAGCCCTATTAAAACACTAATGTAGTTTTTTTATGTGAATTTTTGCATTATGAAAAATGTATTTTCTCAGGCCATTTGCTGTAAGACTCTGCATCTGCACACTATTGGTTTTTTATGCCATATTGTTTCACTGCATTAAAAAGTTTGGTACTATATCAGAAATCTTTGTGCTTCTCATCTGCAGGTAATCACGCAAGATGACAAAAGAAATATAAAAAATAAATTTCTTGATATCTACTTGATTTCTTTAGATAAGGAACATTTAGGGTCCGATATCAAAATGATCACAGATGAAAATAGCACACTTGACTTCACATAACAGGGAATATTAAACAGATTGAGAAAATATCATGTAAATTTGTCATTTAAGCCATTAGCAATAAACACTTGATAAAAGGTAGTCTTATCTGATGTGAATTTGATTCGGTTTGATTATACCATGGCACATCAGATCACAATAAAGGCCATCGTTTAAGTACTGAAAAAGTAGACACTCAGTGTAAACTGTTACTTCAAGTCTACGTTCGGTTTTGTTAGAGATATAATCATTGTCAATACACCTAGTATCTTACGAAATATCCATATATCTCGTCTAACAAAGAGTTTGGCCCGATAGAAATCTTTTCATATAAAATTGCTATTTTCCGAACATAAAATGTAACCACGATATTCCCCTTCAATTCATTTATGTAAATTTTTGGAAAAAAAAATATCTCCAATTTCGCTTCACAATGAATTGTCAATTTGATTCTATTCCTCTTATTTACCTGGCTGAATAATCGTGGATCTACCCTGATATCCTTTCTCAAGATCAAAACCTCGAAATAGTTACAGCCATGCCAATACATAGGATAGCTGTCTATCGATAACAATGCACGAACACGGCACATTAAACAAACAAGTAATGTGACAGAAATTTCAATACCCCGCACCATCAACCCTCCATCAGAATTTGATATCATGCTGTTAAACAAAAATCCCCAACATCATCATATTATATTCCAAGTACAAAAAAATCAAACTACAATGGAATGCAAAAAAACACCTTGGCAAAATCTTTGCACACAGGTGTGCATTTGTTGTCTTAATTTTTCAATCAAAACTTAATTGCAATCAGCCAGATTATCATCATCATTGTCAGAATATCAGAAAACATCTGTTGTTACTTTTCTCCTATGATTTTGAGAAAAAATTAGTTCATTAAAGCTCAAAATAATTATGTGTCTTAAAAATTTGTCTTATGCTTTTAACTTTGAGGGAACTTCAAAAACTTTCAATCTAGCATCCCCTCTCAGTCTCTTCTGACTTCAGCTTTGTAACCCCCCTTTCTCTCTCTCTCAGCTACGTGTACATCTATAAGAACTAAATGTCTCTCTTTCCACAGTTCCAGTAGGCATGTTATTGACTACTCAGTTACCCCATTATCTTCAGCATCAATAATCTCCACTTCCTTGTACTATAAGTAATAGGTTTGACAAGTTTTGGGATATTATTCAAGGTCTATCATAGCGTTTGATGTTTTTCACCGGAGCTGTCTGGCAAGAAGTAGTGAAGACACCATTATCAGCAGAGATTAGCAGAAAATAACACATCACTATTATGAATTATGATAGAAATCCTGATCACTTGTTCTATAGCTACAATATGCTGCTGTTCAAACTGTCTGCAGACACAAAAATGCATGCACGTCGATGCATCCAAATCATCTTGGTTTACAAAAAAAAAAAATTATTTTCATCTTTACAAGAACTGATTCAATTTAAAGATTTTCATATGACATCGTTACACGGCCCAGCAGGAGATATTTGCAAGTTATAATCCCTCCTAAAGAAATATTCTTGACCACTCTCAAAAGAAAAAGTGCTTATTCATTGGGTTGTAGAACTACAATACTAAATTGTGGGGATCTATACTCAATTGTCATGCTCAATGTCAAACACTTTAACTAGTTGTTTTCTAATCCATAAGTAGTGATATCTCCAAACCTGACCCATCACTAATTTATAAACTCTCGCAGGCTTCTCTTACATTTCATCTCTAAAGAACATGTCAAATACACTGTTAATTTTTTCAATGTCAATGTATTCTCTGACAGCTCTATACAGACATCTTTATTCTGTCTCTAAACCTACAAGCATCCCTCAAAAAAAAAGTCAAATAAGAAAGTCCATTCAAATATACCTCTCTTTTGCACAGATGTTGAAGTGGTATATGGAGACTCCATTTTTAAATTTTTTTTCTCCCTAGAATAAAACCCTACACCCTACCCCTTCAAAAAATTAAAATTAAAAAAAAAAGACCAAACTGCAAGGCATCTGTCCCCCCAGCTTACCTCCTGGTTCCTATTTCATGCCCAGTAAAATCACTTCTGAATAAGCTTTTCTGTGACTTCCCTATAAATTAATTAGTGCTCACTTTAATTCTTCCTCTTTAAGGACATTTGATCAAATGATACAGTTTCCAAACACTGATGTCATCAAGCCACTATCAATAATCCCTCTTCCTGGTTATGGCCATCTTCCTGAGATCCTTCACCCGGTTGCAGACTTGCAGATTAGGCTACATGACAAATTTCTTCATACTACACCCATGAAATGCTCTAGTCAAAATCAAAATTTGAGAATAATTCCAGTAGAAGGACATACCTGCTTTTTGAAGTGTTGGAACCCTTACACAAGCCACAGACTCTGCAGACAAACTCATTTTAATTGTTGGATATATGCAAACAAAGAAAATTGAAACTTTTTCTCCTCTTTTTTTTTTTTTTTTTTTTTTTAAAAAAGTTTGATTTAGAAGTATATTTGGCCAGACTTCAAACCAAGATCAACTTTCTACTTAATCACTTTTAGATTTGCCATAATCTGGTTTTGCTAATGTTCCAAAATGGCGTGTATCCATCCCAATCGAACAATCCGATGTCAATTTTACAGCAGTTTAATTGGATGCACTTAGATGAGACCAATGAGCATGAAAATATACACTAGTAAAACACTTGATGTGCAATGTATGAATGTCTGAAAATAGTTTCAAGACCTCGAAATGTCTCTTCTGAAAGTGCTTATGCACAATTCATGTGCATCACAGTTGTAAATCTTTTGTTTATGGCAAAACTTGATAGAACTTTTCATTTGAATGTCTTCAAACACATCGATAAGCTAAACTATTTCATTTGAAAAAGAAACTAAATTACCAAAAACTTTTAAAAAATCTTAAATACATTGTAACCAAAGCAAGCAAGAACTGTGTAGCATGCCCCAAACACCTTGACAACATAGAAGTCTTGGTTAAGTGTCTTTCTAGGACATGGTCGGCAATCACAGTTGATTGGAGATCATTGTCAAACTGGGTGGTTTGGCCCGATTGGAAATTGATGGTTGAGTAGTTCTGTTACCTAGTCCGTAAGGTATCTTCCCTAGACGGGCATGCTGACTGGATTAAAAGCAATGTTTATATTTAAATCACTTTCCCATTATCTCAAAACCTGAGATTACCTTAAATCAATACTATCAAACAGTCTCCCCAAGACTTTTAATAAACACCTTTCGAAGTTAACTTGAATAACAGCTTAGAGACTGACATTTTGACTGTGAATGTCAAATCAATACATTGATCTTCAACCTATTTGTCTTCCTTATAACTGCGAGACATGTGCCCCCTAAGTCAAAATGTTCCAATAATTTCATATGTAATTAAAATTAAATTATGAAAATTTTCAGTATTTGTCGTATTCTGAAACAAATTGTCATTAACTTTCTGTACTCCTTTAAATTAAACATATTTCAGGCTGGGAACAAAGATCACTCATCTCATTTACAAATTAAAATAATGTTATAAACATATTTTTTTAAATTAAAAAAAAAACATCAATCATACTTTGCACTCCAAAATAATTAACTAATTTCAATGGGACAAATATCAAGGTTTGAAGAGACTGGTTAAAGAGTTGCTGTGACTCAGATCAATGGATCGTCTATTGACTGATCATGTAGTGGGCTCCTAAGTGAGCAACTAAGTGTTTGAGTGCATTTTCTTATCAACTTTAGCCACATTTACTTATGAATCTGAAATTATTCTCTCCTATGAACAACATTTGCACAAAGGCCATTGTTGTAAACTTGTAATTTGATCACCATTTAGAACTAAAAGATCAGAGATACTTCTGATGAAGTGACAACTTGGTTACAAGAGTTTCAACAGTTCTGATCATTAAAATATCCATCCAACAAACCAATCCAAAAGATTCTGAAAAAAGTAAGTTTTATGTAAATTAGAATATAATTGCTTACCAGCCATTAATAGCCATTTTACACTTGTTTCTGACGGTGACAAAAGTCCACTTCTAATATGCCGCACCAGACACTAAAAATGATGGCAACAGTGCACCTTACCACACAAAATCTAAAACAGCTTTTTGTACATGTAATGAGGCGATCGAGCATCTATAAATCTGATTTTTGATACAAAACAGAACTAAGGATGTGTTATATCAATAAAAATCTGCCTGATTATTGTAAAAAAGAGGACTCAAAACAGGCCAAGAATATAAATCATATTCCAGAACAGATTTCTCATTAACTCTTCCAATCAATCCAGGAAGTGGCAATTATTCAAAGTCTTTAAAATGTTTCTTTATCAGTGATTGAATGATTCAGTTTGTGTACAAATTTCCTCAAACTGTTGCCACTTTGTATTACAGAATAGATGGCTCACCATGGGAACTCGGCAATACTAGCTCTACCCAAATCAATCAAACATTTTAAGGCTATTTGAAATCTTCATCACTGAAAAAATATGATTCTGCACCAAAGAGCAGTAAAGCATCTCACGGGCCAAAATCATAAAAATAAGATAAATTAAGCAACATTTTGACCCTAGAGTCACCTGACGCTTTAGATACACTCAATGTGTGACTGCGGTACAAAATTAATACACATATTT